CTCAGCAATTAGTCGAACACTTGGACGATTTGTGTTTAAGGAAAACTGGTTTTTGACTTCAGTTATATAAAATAAATCATTGTGGATATGTCGGGATAATTAGGGTAGGAAGATTTCATTGAGATATTACCACAAGATCAGACATCAAAGTTCTGAAAAGATATGCAAGTTAGTCCATTATGTATAGTTTGAATGTGATTGTACACACCACAAACTGTACATTATAATCACGAATATAATAGAGACATGATTAAGACGGTTCTCCATACCCAAAGTTTTCTTAATTCGTGTAGTGCACGACATGGAACAAATAAAATATGCACCGAACTCTGGCTCAGTGGATTCAAACACAAGACATTTTCTCACATTGACTTTTGTTTTTTCACTTTCTTCCATAAGAAATCTACTTAATTGCACTTTGAACCCTAATTTAATAATTTTATGTATGAATACAAGTTCCCCGATGTTTTTTGTCATGTTGATAATCTTGGTTCTAGTTGTGAGAACACAGCCACACATGCAAGGACATGAAGTGAAGCTGGACTCCTGCCATTACTTGAAAACAGAAACTGCCATATTTGGAGCCTTTTATTTGGAAGAATGTGCAAAATGAATTTTTCTTCACCAACAAGTTTTTGGCCTCAGTTCAATTCAAAACTCAAGAGTCCCAAAAAAATTAGAGCACGTGGGAGATCAAACATCGAGATAGTCATGACTCCTAGATAGTGTCTATCCCCAATTATAACTATCCCCTCCGATAGATTAGTAATTTAACCTTTGCGTCATCATCATAGGTAGAACTCTATACTTATAAATTGTAAATCCATTACACTGGAGACACAAATTACACCTTGAGCGTACTCTTGCACTCTCTCTTTCCCTCCACCCCCCCCTCTCTCTCTCTCTCCCCCTACTACCTTGTATCTCTAATTAATAAAGTTCTTTGACCACCATTGTCACCTTCAGTGGTTAAGTCACCCAGATCCAATCATCCAATCTTTATCTCTTATTATTATTTGTCTCATTAGCTTCTTTACACCACACACTTAACTGATTTGATCGCACATAATCGACTTTGTGCATCATCAGAACTTTTTGTTTTGTAAAAGTTTTATCTTTTCGAGATTAAGGATTTAAGTTTCTCTTCTCCGCCCAAAACAAAAAAAAATAATTTTTTTTTTTGAGTTGGAGTAGTTACATGGTTTGATGCGAAGAGGCAAGACAATAACTATTTCTTTGTCTTTGTTTATGGTCATTAATATATGTAGGTGAAAGAAAAAGTCTCCACTTTTCATTATTTATATTTATGGGAAATGAGAATTATGGTACTCATTTGGCATCCAAAGTCACTTATCTAATTTGGTTCATAGAGAACCTACATAATTTATTATCTTTTTTTTTTGGTACAATACATAATTTTATTATCCTTGATATAAACAGAGCCCAAAAATTTTCAACCAAAAAAGAGTAGTTCAATGAACATTCTCTTAACATCCACGTGCAGAGATGTTTCTATGATTCAAACTCTTGATGCNTTGATATAAACAGAGCCCAAAAATTTTCAACCAAAAAAGAGTAGTTCAATGAACATTCTCTTAACATCCACGTGCAGAGATGTTTCTATGATTCAAACTCTTGATGCATAAGATAAAATGGACAAAACTTGTTATTGCGCTATTGCCCACTCTTAAAATTTACCACCCATATGACACTCATTAGGGTTTTTCGGATCAAAATGATATCTAAATATTGCTCCTATCTAATTGGGTCCATATAAAATTGATTATCCTTAATACGAGTATAGCCCCAAGCAATTCACTCCTAGGAAAAGTAATCTAGTACATGATGCCTTATCATTTCATGGCCTAAGAAAAATCATATGGACGTTATATTACCTCCACGTGCAGAGACATTGGTTTTGTGATTCTTACCTTTAATGTCGAGTACATAATGAACCCTATATTACTAATGTGCCAAATGTTAGCCCTTAAAACTAATCCTTACGATTAGTCGAAATATGTAAAAATTAATCTGAATATTCTTGACCATTTAACAAAAAAAAAAATTGACCCCTACAATAATTAAAATATTTTTTTAAAAATTGGAATGAAATGTGAATGTCACCCCTCCAAAAAAAAAACCAAACAAATTTTTACTCCTTTCATAAAATTGGAAAATTTTCTTGGACCTCATGAAGACATTATTCTTGTTCATTCTTTAATTTTTGATCACACTGACCAAATTTTGGGATTAAATTTAGAGTCCAAATGATATGACAGCTGACTTAGACTTTTTTATTTGGTGTCATATCATTTGATTCCCAATGAAAACTCCAAATAATATGTTGCAATATCATTTACACTTTAAATTTGATCTCAAAATTTAATCCGTGTAATATTTCCGATTATTCTTGTTCAGTCTTTAATTTCCTTATTTATTCTATCTACTGGGCTTACATAAACTTATTATTGTGATGAATTAGCATAAAATAGGTATAGTTTAAGCGGAAATAGGTATAATTTAAACAGAAATGATTATTTTAAAAAAAGTGAATCTGACTTTTTGATTTTGGACCAACCAACCTCTGACTTGTTCAAGATCACGTATTGTACAGACCCTCAACCTCACCTAGTCACCCACCACTCTCCTCCCTTATCAATTTTCCTTCCCGATGAGAGAGAAANCAGAAATGATTATTTTAAAAAAAGTGAATCTGACTTTTTGATTTTGGACCAACCAACCTCTGACTTGTTCAAGATCACGTATTGTACAGACCCTCAACCTCACCTAGTCACCCACCACTCTCCTCCCTTATCAATTTTCCTTCCCGATGAGAGAGAAAGTTAAAAGAGCAAATGCCAAAACAAAGACTATAAAAATCAGAGAGAGAGAGAGAGAGAGAGACAGAGAGACAGCGGACTACTGTGGACTGTGGAGTGATTTTTTTTGGATTAGTGGTCTGTGGAGTGAAGTTGAAGTCTCTCTACAGCTTCTTTTAAGAAGAGAACGCTCTCTAACCTTTTCTTCTTATCATTAACCTCTCTCTCTCGCTGTCTCTCTCTCTCTGTGCCCTTTTAACAACCAACCCCATTCTGTCTCGTCTCTCATCTGCTACAACGCTATTGTCTACAACACTCAGAGTGAGAAGGAACCAGAGCTTCACACAAACCCATCCGGCGATCAATGGAGTTAGACCTTGAAAACCCATTTCCAACCTTCCATGACCACCACTTTGATACAATCACTTCTCTCTTTAACATTGAATCAGATCACATGCCTTCAAAAAACTACCCAGAAAACCTCAAAGCCACAGACTTTGACATCTCAATTCGCCGTGAAACCATCTCTCTTATTCTACACGTCTCTCATAACTCTGATTCATCCTTATCCTACCTTGCCATCAATTATCTCGATCGCTTTCTCTCCACTCAGTCAATACCGGTACATATCAACTGTTTGTATTAATGTCGTATAAACCAACTGGGTCAGTATCTGATCAACTTTTAATATTGCAGGAAGGGAAGCCATGGATCTTGAGGCTTCTTGCTCTTTGCTGCGTTTCTTTGGCGTTGAAGATGAGAAAAACAGAGTTTTTTGTCTCTGATATTCAGGTGATTCTCTCCTCAATTCCAAGTTCATAATCAATTAAGACACTTTTTTGGGTTTAATTACTAAAAAGATAAGAACTCACCAGTGGTTTATGTGAAACAGCAAGATGGGGGTTTCATGTTTGATGCACAAACGATTCAGCGAATGGAGTTGTTAATCCTTGGAGCTCTAAAATGGCGAATGCGTTCAGTTACTCCATTCTCTTTCGTCAGTTTCTTCATTTCATTGTTCAAATTCAAAGACCCACCATTGAGGCAAGCTCTGAAAGCTCGAGCTACTGAAATCATCTTCAAAGCACAAAATGGTATGCAAAATTTAAGGTGTTTGTATTGATCTTCACCACATTAGTGACTTGATCTACTTACAGATTCTTTTTTTTTTTGCATCAGAAATAAAGCTGTTAGAGTTCAAGCCATCAATATTGGCAGCCTCGGCACTTCTCTCTGCTTCTCATGAGCTATTTCCCTTGCAATTTCCTTGCTTTAGAAAAGCAATTTCAAACTGTCCACATGTAAATAAGGTACACTCTCTTACTCAATTATGCTTTTATTAACTTTTAATAAAATAAAAGGGTGAGGAACCAGAGAGTAGATCAGTGGGTAACAATGATAAAATTATAAATCAAACAGTTTTGATTTTGAAATTTAATAATTTTTTGAGGTCAGATCATGAGTAATTTATCGTTTATGAATACTCTAATTCTAGCGTGANAGTAGATCAGTGGGTAACAATGATAAAATTATAAATCAAACAGTTTTGATTTTGAATTTTAATAATTTTTTGAGGTCAAATCATGAGTAATTTATCGTTTATGAATACTCTAATTCTAGCGTGAATGACTTGTTTTTGACGGAATTAGAGAGAAAATTAATCAAAATATGCATAAATTAATCTGAATAACTTGATTGTTGGAAAATAAAATAAAAGGGAGAGGGTGCTGTGGTGATTTTATAAGTCAAGTTATAACTTGTTTAAGTTACCGTACAAGTAAATGGATCCAAGTTAGAGAAAAAAAGAGTAATTTTTAGAGTTATTTGTAATGAATTTATTTCTCCGAACTTGACTTTAAATAATTATAATTTAACTCAAAAATATTATAAATTTTGATACTATACCGTGTTAACCATGACAAAAAACTTGGTTAAGCAGATTCCACAAACTGCTTGTTATCATGTATATGATAAAACTAGTTCTAACTCGTATATGAAGGTATGATATAATCATAAAATTCAAGTTTCTAAAAAATTGATCTCAGTATATTAAATAATAATTTTTATTTATTTCATTTCTCCAATTATATCATTCAAAATTTATTTTTACCCTGTAAATATTGACAAAATTTTATCAAAATATGTAATTCGATAAAATTTTCTCAACATGTATATACTATCTTGTATGGATAATGTTTGAAATAAAAATTATTTTAAATAACAAATTAATCAAATATTAAATGATTAAACATTTGATAAAAATAAGAAATGTGATGATTTTGGAAAAAATAATGCGGATGAGATAAAATTTAACTTCCTCTATATTTTATAACTAAATATATTTTGCATTGAATTTTCTTACAGGAAAGTTTGTTCAGTTGTTGCAATATGATTAAAGAAATAGCAATGGACGGCTATGAATCAGTGTTGGAAATGGTATCGAGATCCAGCACCCCGGTGAATGTGCTTGATCTACCGTGCTCGAGCTCATCATCAAGTTCAGATAGCGAGAAGGCCAATCCAACTGAGGGTAGTGGAACTGGAACTATTAGGCTAGAAAAGGACTTGAAGAGACGAAAGATTGGTGGGTTCAGAGGCGATAACACATTTCAGCTTTCTCAGATTCAACAGTGCTGATTTGTCCTGTAGAGAGAGAGAGAGACTCAGACTTTTTCATAAACCAGTTGGTCCATTGGAGAGGGACACCAGCTGTGCATCAAAGAACGGAAAATGAAAAGAGAGGGTCAGTGATGACCAATGGGTGAGAGAGAGAGGGAGGGTACTACTCAATGATATCTCATAGACCAGACCATTGAATTCCCTGTGCATGTTCTTGGTGGATGGTGGGTTGGATACTTTTCTGTCACCCAGAAAAAAGAAAAAAAAAAAAAGAAAAAGAAGAGGAGAGAGAACAAAAAAGAATTTTTTGTTTCTTTCGATTTTCTAAGGGGCCAAACAAGGACAAAACCAAACTTTGAAATGTAGGGTTGGAAAGTGGAAACTGTATGCCTGTCCACTTTTGGTTGTTGGTGCTCTTTATTTCATGCCATAGGAATAATATTGTTATGGGAAAAAATATTGATTTTCTGTTTTTGGCTTTAGTATTAGGGTACCATTTTTCATAGTTATTTATATTTTTTTAATATTAAGTGATAACCACTTGAAGAAATCGATGATCTGTAATTTGAAGTTGTAATTTTCATAACTGATCACAATATTTTTTAATTGATCATGCATTTTGTAAGTCACAATTTTTAGTGCGATACCAAATACCATACCGTGGGCTAAATGACTATGGTTGAAAAGTTAAAATTTAAATTATAATAAAAGCAGTTGTATCTAAATGATCTAGATCGTTATTATGCTTTGTATAAACAGTACTATTTATTTTATTATATAGATATAATAGTTCACACAAATTACTTTTACCCAGAATATAACAGTTTGTTTAAGATTTTATGAATTTGAATGGTTCAATGTGCATTGTGTTTAAATCAATAGTTGAAAGAATAAAAGGTAATTTAAGGGGACAAACTGTAATTAATCTTCTTATTGTTCTAGTTAACAACCCTTTTGAGTTTAATTACGTTAATCTTCTATTATGAACCGTCCGATGGTCCCCCATGAATGAGTTTTTGCCATCCCAGAAATATGGGCCCACTATAGAGATTTATATAGGCAGTAGAAGAAGGTCACAACACTTTGAGTTGGACCACTGCCTGGATACAATCGGATGTTACACTATGCTATAAATGTGGAGCTTTCGTTAAGAATGTACTCGCTGCAAATGAATTTAAAATTTTAGTTTTAGTTTAAATTATTATCTTCAAAATATAATAAAATAAAGTAGAACAATATAACACAACATATACTTAACATGTGTCACTTGATGGTTGGACAAAATAAATAGGTTTTGTACCAAAAAAAAAAAATTATCAGGTATTATAGTCGAACCCTTTTTTATTATAAGGACAAACAATAAATTTGAATATCTTGAGTTTTAATCTTGATAATTCATTGAGGTCGGATTTAACCCTTATAAATACCATAGTCCCGGCGTTGTTAGTCTGGCTTAAATCAAACCGGAGAAAAAATTAGTTATNAATAGGTTTTGTACCAAAAAAAAAAAATTATCAGGTATTATAGTCGAACCCTTTTTATTATAAGGACAAACAATAAATTTGAATATCTTGAGTTTTAATCTTGGTAATTCATTGAGGTCGGATTTAACCCTTATAAATACCATAGTCCCAGCGTTGTTAGTCTGGCTTAAATAAAACCGGAGAAAAAATTAGTTATATTACGCATAAACCGTCCCAAATGCTCCGACCATTGAAGGAAAAAAAAAAAAAACCCTCTTGATTGTGCCGGGGGGAATAAATATGCAGAATGGGTCTAGTGTTTGGCTATAGAATAAATTACACCATTTACCCCTAATATTTGTTCTAATTCTCCTTACATCTGTTTGTTTCCCAGTTTCACCATTTAGTTTTCATTCAATTTAGTCCAATTAACATCTTTCATCACACTTGATCAAACAAAAAAAATCTTCCATCACAAAGCACGACAGAAAATAGCATGTCTTACTATTGGAAGATGGTCTCTACGAATCGTGAACACACTTAAATNATTCTCCTTACATCTGTTTGTTTCCCAGTTTCACCATTTAGTTTTCATTCAATTTAGTCCAATTAACATCTTTCATCACACTTGATCAAACAAAAAAAATCTTCCATGACAAAGCACGACAGAAAATAGCATGTCTTACTATTGGAAGATGGTCTCTACGAATCGTGAACACACTTAAATTTTTTTTATCATGAAAAAATCCAAATACAATCATTATTTTCAACAAATATTTAACTACAATCATTGATTGGATTGAAACGATAATAAATTGGGATGAAATAACATATCAAAAGTTGAATTATGACATTGACAGAGGTATAAACTCTAATAGGGACCAAGGAGAATCATAATAAAACTTTAGGGGGAGAACTGAAATTAAGTATAACCTAGAAAAGAAGCAATAGAACTTTGAAAATGATACCTACAACTGCTCATCTGACTTATTGTCCTTCAATACAAGGGACTGTGTTTTTAATATCAAGTATAGTTTGAAATATTACANAAAAGTTGAATTATGACATTGACAGAGGTATAAACTCTAATAGGGACCAAGGAGAACCATAATAAAACTTTAGGGGGAGAACTGAAATTAACTATAACCTAGAAAAGAAGCAATAGAACTTTGAAAATGATACCTACAACTGCTCATCTGACTTGTTGTCCTTCAATACAAGGGACTGTGTTTTTAATATCAAGTATAGTTTGAAATATTACACCATTTTATTTATTTTATGCAAGGCTGTTAGGTAAGATTAAGAATTTTCTCCTCTGATCCTTAAGAAACTAACATGATTGACTTCTCTAGTCAACAAGAGATGACAAAGGGCCCATTCGAAAAGTTTGTATTTGTTATTTATTTGTTGGTCATCCAACCAGAGTNGATCCTTAAGAAACTAACATGATTGACTTCTCTAGTCAACAAGAGATGACAAAGGGGCCATTCGAAAAGTTTGTATTTGTTATTTATTTGTTGGTCATCCAACCAGAGTAGTTTAACATCGGGACTTTTGAGGAATCTTAGGTGCCCAACTTCAAATAAAATTGCACAAAGGTGTACAATTGCATCCTCGTTAGTATATAAGTTGCATATGAGGACGAGTTGTACAATTTGATATTCTGAATTTGAATTTTGATAATTTTTTAAATTTAAATCATAATAGATTTATCTCTTATAAATGTTATAATTTCGGCGTAAATGATTTACTTTTGACCTAGACTGAAAAAGAGATAAGTCAAGATGTGTGTAAGCTGATTCAAACACTTTTTACCGTTGAACCAAAAAAAATAAAATACATGACCTACTAAGATTGTAACGCTTCAAAATCCACGTTGGAAGGCCTTATNTTCGGCGTAAATGATTTACTTTTGACCTAGACTGAAAAAGAGATAAGTCAAGATGTATGTAAGCTGATTCAAACACTTTTTACCGTTGAACCAAAAAAAATAAAATACATGACGTACTAAGATTGTAACGCTTCAAAATCCACGTTGGAAGGCCTTGTTATTTAGTATTTACCAATTATTCAAACTATGAGAGTAACTAAAAATAACCATCCANCGTGACAGGCGGGAATACTTACCACTATACTACAACGACTTTGTGGTAGAGCGACGTAATAAATATTTAGTTTGACTGTTCTTTATTGGGCAGTAAAAACTTTCGGTAAGGCTTGTAAACACACAAGACACAACTTAGTAACACAACGTGAATACGATACAAAATTAAAGAATTTGGATATTTTTTTGTAACTTGTTTAATAAATAAGTAGATCCGATATGACACAATTAATAAATGAATCAAATATTATTAAAATCAATCAAAAAAATATATACGCCTCGACTTGATTCGTTTATATATTAGTTATACATGATTTATATACAATACGAACTTGATATGATATGACTCGNTCGACTTGATTCGTTTATATATTAGTTATACATGATTTATATACAATACGAACTTGATATGATATGACTCGTTAGACACAAATTAATAAATGAATCGAATATAATTAAAATATTTTTTTAACACAAATCTATTAATATTCGTCTCACTCAATATGATTCACAGGCTTTAACAGCTTCCATGTGTATAATTTCACTGACTTTTTTGACAGGTAGATTTGATATTGATATAATTCACCAATTGACTCACTTTTTGTACAATTGATGGATTTAACATACAAAACATATCTGATGCATCCTACACGCTTTTAACAATTTCACAAATGGTACTAGTCTTAGTGTTGAAGCAATTTCGCAAGTGTTACGCTTTTAGCAATATCGCTAGTAACTTGATATAATTAAAAGCTTGTTTGTAGGGAAAAAAAGAAGTAAAATTTTTTGCTTTTCTGGTGGAGAGAAGTGAATCAATTCACGCACTACTTATATATATATATATATATATATATATATATATTTTAAAAGTATAGCATTTTCGTAAATAGCTCAAGATTAAAAAATAATAAAAATTCAGAATCAACCCCGTGGATCCAACTAAAAATAGCATTTTCGTAAATAAGTCAAGAATAGAAAATAATTAAAATTCAGAATAAGCCCGGTGCATCCAAACTCTATTGGATTTAGATCCAACGGCCCTTTTTGTTTTGGTTGAATTAACAGAGCTGGGTAGGCAACAATAGCCTATGGTCCAAGACAGGCCGCGGGTAAGACCCATGGTATACCCATCTGGCTAACATGCTGGGCTTGACTGTTGCTGTTGGACTACGAGGTTCTGGGCCAGATCGCGAACAAAATCAATAGTTTCAGGCTTCGGCTTCTGCACACTAGTTATAGAAAAACGTTAATTTTATTGATAATTTTAATGTCGGAGAGAAGATGGCACTTGACTTTTTAACGTCTCTCCTCCTTTTTGATATTATTTTTTAGATGATTGTTAATGAACAAATCTAACCGAAAAAATTGATAGAATCTATTAATCCAAATATTAATATATATTTAGATCGTAACTATTTAAATATCATTTGAGATGTCTAGCATGACACTTTTTATTCACGTCAATCACTGCAGCATTGACTGGTGTAATAGATCCTGGCCGTAGGGTAAAATAGTAATTGAAGCAAACTATTTTGCTGTGCCATTGTTGCACAGTGCCCAGGTCCTTCTTCACGCTCAACAGATTTGAAGATGCCACTGGAGGTCATTTTCAACTGTCATATCTTGACACGTGTGAGCACGGTGGCTGAGTTACTGTACATAGCGCCGTAGATAATGCACGGGCACT